GGAGGGGGGGGGGTGGAGGGGGGAATTGTCCAAAGTGGAGGCTTGGCTGTGATTTGTTTCTTTGCATAGTTTATTTTGGAAGTTCATTAAAAATATCTTCCTAATACTCAATGGTATGGTAAACATATTCAGCCTTTTCAGGAGTTGATGCTTACTGATGTTTTGCGGATGTGGCCACCTATATGTTAAAAGGAGGAAGGGGGGAAATACACATTCTTTACAAGTGTTCTTGAAAAGCTCGTTTTTAATACTATGTATTTATCTGTTGCAATATGGATTAAGAAATTCAAAACAGATTAAGAAATTAAACACTGGTATTCTTGCAAAAAACATACATAAGGCAAAAATCTGTTTGTTTGTTAGCAATCCTAGATTAATAAATTTGACTAAAGATCTGTGGGTAACAAATATGGTTTAAAGCATCTGACTTGAATGAAATGAAAAGGCTTAAAGATACTGCTTTTTCAGAATTCACTAAAAAATCGCAAGGCTTTTGTATTCCAAGCATGCTTCCCAACTCCTGCCTCACAGTATGCTTGTCCGAGAGCACCAGAAAGGCAGAAGGGCGTAATCAGTAAAAATGAACTTTACTGTTTCAGATGAATGGTATAAAGAATGTAAAGTAAAACATAAACGTACTGAAAGCAAATAGCCTCCTACAACTGTTCCATTAAAATTGGATGGTGCTAGTGTCAAGGAGATGTTGACTGAGAAAGTTTGTTATTTATGCACAGTATGAAAATTGCTTTTTCCTGGCCATTGTTTCTGTTAATTCTTCATTTCCTGATAATTTTTAGTTTCATTTAAGGAAAACTCTCTGCCTAGTATGTGGTGTAAAGAGAGAGGGAGCTAAATTCATTACAATGGGATGATATGTGTATAACTTGTTTAATGGATTGACATAAAAGTATATTGCAGAGGAGACAAGTGGTTTGGATGGCTAAGAGAACTAATAAAAAATATTCATAACCTTCAGGTTGCCAGAACACTTCTGTGGATAACACTCGTCTAAATTGAAATTGTGGCTTAACACCTTCTTAAAATGAGTCAGCAACTTATTTTGGTTTGTTATCACTATCAGATTGAACATTGGAAGTTATTGTCTTTAAGAAAGATCAGAAGACAAAAGTGCTGTTTCTTCTTCCCTTCTTTTTAAAAATGATTTACTTTGTGCAATTTCTGTTAAGCAGGAGGATTTTTCTTGTGTTGAGAAACAACAGTTTGAATGAAGAAGATAAATAGCTGGGAGATGTGAGCAGATATCATGTTTCTCTCCTTCCATCCGTCACTCTAAAAAAGGGAGAGGGGGAGTGACTAAACAGACTTAAAAAAGACACAGAACACTTACTGCTGGTTTTTTCGCATGAATTTGAATAATGTTCTGAAATTAGGGTATCTTTAACTGTCATCTTACTGAACCTTCCCTTTCTGTAGCAAGATGCACTTCAGTTCGAACAGGTGGTCTGGGTACCAGACATTCTTCCTGATCAACAGGCATGCTTACAGCATGCTGTCTATTTAAATATGAGAGTTTTGATTGTGATTTCCATCTAATCCCTTACGCTTTCCCCGTGTAGTATGCTCATCATCTAAGAGGTCTCCATTTCAGTGATAAACTGAAGACAGCTAGAAGAGCTTTCAGGAATTAGTCTTGTGGCAAGTCCTTGCATGTAAACTTTTGTTCATAACTTGGTTGTCAGCACAACTATCAATGTTAAATGAAATACTGAGCACTTTGTAGTGTCTTCAGAAAACTGAAACCTCTCCTTTGTGTCCATAACATGACCATCAAACTACAAGCTTTGAGTTATGCTTCAGTATCTTTTGCGATTTCCACATCTTTCTTCTCATTGATACACTAATATGTCAAAACAAAATTAGAGGCATAAAGGCTGGAAGTAGCTTTTTCTATTTCCTCTTACAATAGGTAATTGCAGGGGATGTTCTTAAAATGATTTTTTAAAATTACGAGAGCCAAGTATTTAACCTTTGAAATGGTGTGGAGTTTATTGTGCAGTTAAAGTCCAATATCATTATGCTTTGTAGTTAATGTTTGCTCTATTGAGCTGCTCGTTTGCCACTAGTTGAGCCATGTGTGCTGAGCAGCAAAGCTGCCTGTAGGACAGGGCTGCTTGTTTGTGTGTGTGTGTCTACAAATCTCTGAGCTGGGAAAGAATGTGTCCTCTTGGCACAAACATTTTATACCCTTTGACTTTGGACCTTTGTTGCTTTTTGTTACAAGCTTCTTGTACAATATTTCCTTAGTGACTTACTATATTATCTTTTAGCTTTATGGGTTTTAATAATAAGTTTTTGCTGAACTTCAAAACTGGAATAGGGTGATGGGGTGGGAAACTCATGATGAGGTCTCTTGTTTAGGAAATGCGGTTCCTTGCTTTTCCTTGTCTTTACCAGAAAATTATTTCATGTCGTGATTCAACTGTAGTGGTGTGCACCTCTTCATTTCTAAATTATGGGGCGGGTCTGTTTATTCTTCTGTCCCTCGGAGAAGGATACTTGGAGTAATTTTCTTTAACTTGCAATACTGATCTTCAGTAGAAGTGTGCTTTCATTTGTGTGGAATCTAGAAATAAAGAAATATGGCCACCACCTTCTGGCTGCAGGAGTATCCTGAAGTTCCCTTCTTTGTCGTGTTTTTCCTAAGTAAGACTTTTTTATTGTAATAATCTGTAAAGTTCTTTTTCTAAATAAAACTCTTAGGTATCTGGTTTTCTTCATGCTCTCTAATTTAAGGATATTGAGACTTTAGTTAATACTATTGCAACCTTTTAAGCTTGTAAGTGGCTTCCAGATAAAGGTGAAGGGGCTTATTTCAAAGGGAGATTTAAAATGCAAGGACTTGGCTGTATTACTGAGGTTTTCTGACCATCAAGCAAACCAGTGGAAAGCTGTTTGAACCAAAATCCTCTGTGACGGAGAGGTGAACAGACAGGTTGCTGTTGTAAGACCTGTTGTATGAAAGTAAATCTCAGCCCAAGCCTCACTTCGTGGAGGTGTGCAGAGGAGCCACAAAGGGCACTGAATGTGAGACAGGAGCAACCTCTTCTCGCTTCAAACTCTGAGCGGGGATTGGAGCAGGTGACCTCCACAGGTCCTCTTCAACCTAAATTATTCCATGACTATCCAGAGACTGAAGTAAAAATATGTCTCCTTATCTATGTCAGACAATCTTCTAGTCTCTGCTGCTACCTGGAGTATAAAAGCAATGGCATTGTAAGGGTGACTGTGCTAGGGTAGTCCAAGGTGACCAGTAGCAGATCCTTAGCGATGGATGTAAAACATGATAGATGAGGAACTGTAGGCAAAAAGACATGACCTGATTGCTGGTAATTTAAGGACAAGATCTTGAGTTTTCTTACATTATCCTGCATATTAGTGTGTTGCTGGGAATCAATGATGTCAGATGTATACTAAGAGATACTACAGGAACTCTCAAATGTCCCTCATTTCACTTGTGTAATGTCATTGTAGTTCTTTGGGCCAGTGCATGTACTTCTAGGGCCCCTCAGCTGTGTTCAAACACTGATTATACACCAGAGCAGTTGAAAAGATTACAGCTTCTTGTAACAAATCTTGCTTTCCAGTTTGGCAAGTCAGCTTGGCTTGTGTAAGTTGGATTCCACGACTGTGTCTGATTTGTGGGGCACGTAAGATCTCGGTGTTTCACTTCAGAATCCTATCAGTATGAACTGGGCTTTGTCTGTTTCCTGCTTTCCTCTTCTGTTCTATGTATAGATCAGAAAGCAGGACTACCCTGCTTAAATAGCTTTTTAAATTTCAATTAAAAGTTTTTTTTTTTGCACAAGAAAAAGTTATGAGAATCTTCTGGGGAAAATAAAGTTGCTCTTAGCAGTCTACTGAATTAGGGTAATTTTTTTCCCCTCCTTTAGCAAATTGATGAATATTAAGGGTCAGTTGGTCAATTACATTTGTGCCCAGCTTTCCTCAGTCAATGGTAGCTAAAGACACTAAGATATATTAAAAGTTTGGCCTTGGGGAATTTATTTTTAAGCATAATTGTCAACTAACTCTTCAGGATAAGTGATTCAGACTACCCAAAACATCAACCACCTTCCAGACAGGTGAGTATACAGTGATCTTGAAGGCTGAAATATATAAGGTCCTGGTGCCTGTTGTTTCCTTTTGTGTACAAATAGCTGTTGAATCTTTTTCTTGTGGGGGATGAGAAATTTTTATAGCTGATTACTTTTAACAGTTGTACTATTATAACGTGAGTAGAGTTGTTATCTGAATGTTACAGGCTTTTTTAGGTTGCATGTTATGCTGTGAATGTCTTCACAGCTTGTGGGAGAGAAAAGGATATTGTGATATGTACATGAAATAATAGGATGGAATTCAATGCAAATGTGTTTTTTTCCCTTTACCTTATAGAGGAGGAAGATGGTGTTTGGGAGAATGGACTGTCTTATGAATGTCGCACTCTGCTTTTCAAAGCCGTTCACAACCTGCTGGAGAGGTGTTTAATGAATCGGAATTTTGTGCGCATTGGGAAATGGTTTGTGAAGCCTTATGAGAAAGATGAAAAACCTATAAACAAAAGGTAGGATGTTTTATTTTGCTTTATTAAAGAAATTGTAGTGTTTATTTAAGCTTCATGCTAGAAGAAACATTTAATTTAGAGCACACTGTTTATGGTTTGTTTGGGATCCTGGATCTCTGATCTTTCTTGGGTTTCTTCCTTTGAGTTCTTCAGGACTTCCTTATGATGAAAGGAAGCAATATTAAAGGTGGTAGGCAGTCTCTTCTGTGCAGATACCCACATACATACCCCAGATAGTGGGGATGTTGGAAGACAAAGTACAGTCTTCTAGAAAGGAAGAAAAGGATAACTGTATGAAGAGATACCTGCTCAGGACTTGTCATTATAGTGACTGGGACTAATTCTGATTGTAAATACTAAGACTTATTCTTTGAGCAAGTGGGATTTAGAGAGCTATTTACAGGCACCACATGAGGTTTGGATAAATTGCATCTTACGGGAGATTTTGAGAAGAGAGTTTGAAATGTCAGCTCCTGGTCAGAAAGAAGGTCCTGTCTGGGAACACCGGTGTTACAATACATGTGGCCTCCATATTGAGAGGGAGGAGGGCAAGAAGATAATTTTTGATCTAAATTGTGAGGACTTCTTCTCATGGTTCTAATGTAGTTTGACATGGTCTGTGTTGCCTAGCAATAAATAATGAAATTAATAAAAAAACTAGGTTAGCTGGAACAAGTTTAATCGCTGTTCCCAAATCAGCTTTTAAAATCCAAAGCAATTTAAAGCTTAGATGATGTTTTTTTTGTGTGGGGTGATTTTTTGTGTGTGTGTGTGTATATGTATGTGTTAAATCTTCCACATAGGGAACTTTTGAGATCAGCAGCTTTGCTTTTTGGGTGTGGAGTTGGCCATTGTTGGCATCTTCTCCAATCAATTTAAACTTGAAAGAAAATTAGAGCTGTTTTGGAGCAAAAGAAGCAGAAGCACATGTTTGTGTGTATTTCTGTTAGTAATTGTGAACTGCTGCTTTTAATTTATGTGTAAACTTGTCCTTTAGTTCTAGGCATCTCTTTCTCCACCCTAGTCAGGGCAAATATTTCCTCTCTGGGGTGTCCTTGTCCATCCATTTCTTGTGTGTTGTTGCTATAAATCAATAGAAAAGAGTTTACTTTTAACTATTTAGGCCAATATTGTCTTGGCATGGTCTGGCCTTTCCTCATCTGAGGAACTGGTTTTCCAAATTGCTGTTTGAAAATAGCATTAGTTATGTCATGGCATCTCTTACAGTAAATCCATAAAGCTCTCTACAGCAGCTGGAAAAGCTGATGAAAGCTTTGAAAATAAAATAGTAGCGTTTGTTTAATTTGGAGACTCTGATTCAGGTCAGAAGGTCAGCATGCTTGATGAAAATAACTGAAGGAATTGCGTGCTTACCCACACAACAGCTTCATCATAAGTAGTCCAGAACTACTGGAAAAATATGTGGAAAGATTTACACAGATTTATGTAAAGAATTTCTGGTAGAGAAATTTCAGTGTTTTGTACCAGATCGCTCAACACCATGGGATTTCTGAGCACTGGCTTTTACGTAGTGAAGTGAGGGGAATGGTTAGCAGATGTGCATACTCATAGCATATTTGGCTCATCCCTTCTAGGAATATCCATGATTTCCTTAATCTATACTCTCTGGAAAGTTAGGCTGTTCAGAGGTATCAGTTCAGGCCTCTGCTCCCAGCAGCTCCCCGTGGGAGAGACGCAAATGGCTGAAATTGGTGCTTTGGGATAGCACCCCTGTAGCTGTCGTTCTGTGTCTGGGCAGGAGATGTCAAGTGGAATGGTTTGAGAGGATTTTGGTCTCTTGTATAAATTGGAATACTCTTCTAGTCAAAAGGGACATTTATCAAATGTTAAGCATGGCACTGCAGCAAACTCAACAGAAAAGGACTTGCAGCCTGCCTAGCAAGCGCTCTGCCTGTTGCACCCAGGGTACTGAGAAGTTTCTTACCAGACAATTGGTATTAAGGTTTAGTTTTTGTTAGTTCTAGGCAACTTTTTGCATATTTTTCCTTCCCTGAGACCTATTTAATCACCAAGACCTATACTAACCTTGTCTTTTTTTGTAGATATGGCTGACTGAATTAAAAACTTAAAACCACCAAATGACCAAAGTCATTCTTCTCTTCGTGATTATGGATGCACTTATCTGAAGAATCAGAACAGTTTTGAAGCTGTATTTTTGTCTTTTGGTCATTTTCACTGTCTTTCAAGCAATAAGAATAGTGATATTCATAATGCTAATCTCAGAAGTGTGTCATGCTAGCCTCTTGATGTAGGAAGAATAGTGTCTTTTTCAGAAGGCTTTCTCTTTCTTCCTCTGTTAGAAATATATATATCTGCCCGGAAAGTAGTGCTGCTCCTATGCAGACATGGCCGCAGATGAATGTGGCAGGTGTTGCATCTGTCATAGGGAATCAGGCATTTCTGTTCAGGAAGGTTGTAATTACTTCTCTGTATTGCTTGTGGTGATTAAATGTCTATCTCATTCGTAAGGAAAAAAAAAAAGTTACCTGTGATAGTGTTGGTATATTTTTATTCATCCTTTCCTTCTTCTAAAGCATTGCGTGGTGGGAGAAGTACAGGAAGAAACTGCGTGTACCAAAAAATGGGAGGAATTTGCCCCACTCTCTGGTATCCCTGCATGGGTGTTGTCTTCATTTCAGACCTTGTTACTGTTATCTTCAATGCCTACTTTCCTCCTGTGTTGTTATGTATGATTTGCTTTCCTTGGGACTGTTCTTTGCATTAACACTCAGAAACCCTGAGTGTAGAACTCATGTGCCTGTGTAATTTAGAGGCACTTGGTATACTGGGGATTTGAAGCCTGCTACCGCTCTGCTTCCGATCCTAGTTTATACCATGCTGCGCTTCAGGGCTCGGCTGGGCACTACATAGACTTGTGCTGTGAAGTATTATAGCTACAGATTTTTATAAGATTGGTTGTTGTTGCTGGCAATCTTTAATTTCAAAGATTGATTAGAGACTGAGTAGCCAGTGCTCTTGACAGTGGAGGTAACTTCTTAACATGTGCTTTCTGGAGCTATGGTTGAGCGAGGTGCAGGACCTTAGTCTACTTTTGCACTGCTTTCTCTTTGAAGCATGCACGGATAGAGCTATTTCTTTCATTTGAAGCTGATCCCATCTGTTTTTTTTCTGAGTTCTGTTTGAAAGCATGTGGTTCCAGAATATGTGAGATTTTCTGTTATCTGGTCTCCCAACAATAGAAGTCAGTCGTGTTGTGCTTTTTGTATGTATGTGGTAGAGCAACAGACGTAAGGCTGTGATTTCTAATGGGTGTTTGCCTGGGACGACAGATCCTCAGGCAGCCATGGCTTGCTGTGTGTTGCTCTGTTATTTTTCCTCATTGTATAAGGTTATATTTTTAAAAAGTCTGCTTCATCATGGTGTTGTGTACATTTCAATTTTAAGAGGGCAGCTCTTAATACTGATAAACTGGTGCCACTGGGGTATGTGAATAGATGACCAAGAAAGTAAGAACTAGATGGTTTGAAGTGTTCACTGTTTAATTATGTTTAATGATGTGACTCCTAAAACAAGCAAACTTATATTAAATAATAATATGAGGTTAGTTTAGTATCTTAGCTTCTTCCATAGCAAAATTTTTAAAACCTCAGCTGTTTGCATTGCGCGGTCACATGCTGCATGTTGACAAGGCTGCAAGGGAATAACCATGACCTGCTCTTCCCTCCCTCCCCCTGCTTCTCCCCAGTCTAAAACCAGCATTGAGAAAAGTGAGACAGTCATGTATTTGGTGAAATTTGATCTGTTAGAACAAGTCACGGTTACCATGCCTGAGGAAACTGTCTGAGGTTTTCAAGTATGCTAGTTCCACTTCTGTTTATAGATAGGGCAGGAATGGAGTGGCTGACTCCCTAAAGTGCGTGTGGTGGGGTTTTTTTGTTGTTGCTCGTTTTTAAGTAGGCGATTTTCAATCTCAGGAATGGGTGATGGGGGTCAGCAGGAGAACAACAGTAGAATAAAAGACTGAAGGGAAGGTTTTGCTAATGGTCTTGGTTGTTACCAAACAGGGAAAAAAAAAATAATTGCCTCTGTATTTGTCAGAACCTTTTTCAATCACTTAAAGCAAGGTAGATTACAGAAGCTCAGTAATGTGGTTTAAATGAGTGCATATTAAATGATGAAGTTTGACAAGTAGGGATGTCTTTCTCTTTTCTCCTTTCCAACCTCTTGTTTTGTTATTGCCATGTTCAGAAATATGGTTGTGTGTGCTTTGTTCGAAAATCCACCCTATTAATGTATGAGACAGAGATTGTGATCTGCTGCCTCCGATTGTCTGTCTACCTTTTCTGGTTGGACTGCTCAAATAACAGCCTTTGGATGAGACTTTTCCTCTTGCCAACGGGGTGCTAATATAGTAATGTATACCTGGAATAAATATGATTAGGAAACTTGTCCGACTAAACACTATTTGAGATAAAATTCCTTAATGAAGACTAAATCTGACACTCCTAATGAAACACAAGTATGAAGTGCTTACATGGAGGATATCTCCTGAAGTTTTGGTAATAAGCACAACTTGCTAAACTTTAACACAATTTAAATACCAGTAAGCAAATAATTGAGTAATCCTGACTGTGGGAGGATGTGATAGACAACTGAAAATCTAGAATGCTAAAAGCTGCTATATTACTTGTATGGTTGCTTCCCCCCACCTTGTAAATAGGAAATAATATAACCAATGGGTGGCAAACCAGAACTTGTGTCTGACAAGTTCACTTAAAAAACAAAATGTAAAAAACCCCCAAAAAACTCCACCATACAACCAAAACAAATGGAGAAAAAAAAGAAAAGCCAAACAAACCCAACCCCAAAACCAAAAAACCACTTGGAAAATCATAAGTGATAAGCTTATCATAGCTTACAAAATGAAACTTGCTGCACAGGTTTCACAGGTAATGCTGTTTTAATGTTAATCTGGGTATAGGATTTTATAGTGCCTGCCTGCTGTTCTTTTGTTTTTT